AGGAGGAGGAGGAGGAGGAGGAGGAGATGAAGAGAAGAGGAAGAAGAAGGAAATTCTATTAATTGTGACAAGGATGAATGGAGGACATTACGCTAAATGAATTAGCCAAGCTTCCCTTCCCAAGCTACTCCATGTTGGTGTCTGACTCTGCAATTCCACCATCACTACTCCTGCCAGAATTAGGAAGAAGCTTTAGCTTGCCATTTCCAAATGTCGAATCTGTTTTCTCAGAAATATTAATATTGCAGAGCCCTTCCTTCTTGAAACATGTTCCTCTTTTGGCTTCTGTAACGACGCGTTCCTGCTTTTGTTAGTGTTTACTAATCGCTCTTCTATGCTAGTAGTCTTCTTTGCTATTTCTTCTTCCCCTTTAAATTAGTCCCAGAGCATGATCTCAGCTCACTTCTCTTTTCTATATGTACATCTGGATAGTAATTGTAATTATTCTCAGAGCATTAAATGCTACCTGTGTGGTGATTCCGAAACCTACCTTTAAACTCTAGTTATATGGACCAATTACCTACTTCATATCTTGGCTTAGACTTCTACAGGCGACTCATGTGTAACAGGTCCCCTTTCCTTCAAAACTACCCCACTTTTGTAGGAACTTTCACCTACCGCTATCCATGCAGTGGCTCAAGCCTACATTCTGAGTGTCTCCTTGGTTCTACTGTTCCCCGCCTCCTTCACGCAGACTATCCTGTCTTATTGTTCCAATCTCCAAATAATATCTTGAATCCTTCTATTTCTTTCTGCGTCTTTACTACCAATACCCAATGTGGGCCATTAATATACCTTCCACACAAATTATACAACACCCAGTGGTTACCATGCATAAATTAGAGCTTTCCAGAGAAACAACCAATAAACAGGATGGAGAAAGTGAGACAGTGAGAGTGAGAGCAGGAGACATTACAAGGAATTGGCTCATGATGTGTGCATGGATTCTGGCCAGTCCAAAACCCATAGGGTGGGCCACCAGGTGGGAGACACAGAAGAGCCAATGTTGCAGCCTGTGTCTCAAGGTCATCTGCAGTAGAATTATGAAAAACCAATATCACAGAAGTCCAAAGAGAATCTGCAGGAGGTTTCTCTCTTGTTCACAGAAGACCAGTCCTACTTGTGTTTCATGCTGTGTTTCCCTTGAAGATTGACTGGAGATTTGCTACCCATTATCCTTGCTCCCAAACCCAGTAACTTTTCACTGCTTCCACTTCTACCTCCCTAGTGATTAACACTCACTGCTATCTCTTATCTGGATTGTGCATCAGTGTGCAGAAAAGTCGTCCTCCTTTGCATTTTGGTCTCTCTAGAGCACATTTCTACACATATCAGATCATCCTTCTGCCTGCTGAAACACCTCCAGTGACTTCTGTAGGAGAGGAGATTAAAATTTTCCTCTACCCTCTGAGCTTTTCAGGTCTGTAGAAAAACCCAGGTTATGTGTGCACACCACACACATATTTGTATACAGAGAACTCAAGGAAGAGTGGTAATTCAAAGGGGAGGTTGGGATTTCAGGCTTAAATGTCATCTTAACAAAGGGTGATAAGTTTTTCCAGCATTAACAAGCAAAGGGTAAGAGGTTTGTGTCCTTGGAGCAGTAAATCGTGGGAAGGTAAACTCAGGGGGAAAGGAATGAAGGATAAGATGATTTTGGTAAAATTTATGCACACCCATCTTAGTGTTCATTTCACATCTGCAGTGATGGTGACCATTTTCCTCCTTCTGTTGTGGGAGAATTGAGAGAGAAAACTTTCATAAAAATAGATCTGTGCCTGGCAGTTAAGCAAATAGGAGGGCAGAGAGCTGTTTGTGTTTTCTTCTTTCTAATTGCCTTCAGTTCAAAATAATCCTAATGCCAAAGTGGTAATATTTCAAAATGACACGTTCTCACCTCCTTTATTAATTCATCTTACAACATCTTGTGCTGTTGTACTGCCCGTGAGGCACCTATCCTGGTCTTTTGCACTCCCTTAGACTTCAGTCCTTCTTTCCTCCTCAAGTCTGGCCTGTCTCTTCTTGTTTTTCCATGCAGGCAAAGTGGGTACTGCCTTAGGGCATTTGCACATGCTTCTCCTAGTGTGAACCACTCTGCCTTCCCATAGTTGCTGGGTCTAATCCATTTAATTCAAGTCTCTTTTGCCATGGCATTTTATTGGAGAAGCTTACACTGACAACTCTGTGAAAGGTAACGCTGTTATCCTATCTTTCTCTTAATCTTTTCTTTTCTTGCTTTATTTTTCATGAAATTTATCACCATGTACAAACTATCTTTACTGCTTGACTATTTCACCCCACTTAAGCCAAGTGGAATATGCATTTCCTAAAAGCATTTTTATTTTTTGTTCACTGTTATAGTGATAGCACCTAGAACAATTCTTGCCATATAATAGTTAGCCAACACTTTTTATTCAATGAATAAATGAATGGCTGAAGAGGAAAATTCTTAATTACTTGGATGAATGTAGCTCTTGTTCTTGCATTTCTTCCAAGGGAATATACTACGTTTGATTTTTTTTAACTGCTATTGTTTCCGAGTTTTCAAGACTATAAAGTTTACCCTTGATCTTAGCCAAAATGCCAAGAAGCAATATGACCATAAAGTTTACAAAATCAATGCATAGATACACAGACTCTCAGAAATATTAGCTAACACTCATCCAACTGGTAAAAACCAGGGTAATAAAATAGCAAAGAAACCTAGATTCTAGATCCGTGTCTTTTTAGTTTCATTTCTTTTGACCAGACTGGCTTCAAGAACTTCTGTGCAAATGTTCCTAGCAAGAAGAGCTGGACTAGGATTGGTGGATTAAATGTATAAGGTTGCAATAAGAAAAAAAAAATCAAGTTGTAATCCTGATTGCCTGAAGTCTTTTGGGCCATGTCTCTGTGTCTGTAGGGTTGGTATGAAGATTAAAGAGGTACAATATGTAATTATCTTAATAAAATGTTATATGTACAGAGAAATAATTAAAAGGTTGGTGATTATTGTCAATATTAACATTTGTAAAATGTTAGTTAATGATTAGTTTTCTGTGTAATTCAGGGAAGACTAAAGAGCTTCCAGTGCCTGAAAAATCTTCAGTACATGAAGTTCCAAGAAGCATATATTCATCACCAAACTATAAGAATGGGGCTTATAATACCTGCCCTGTCAGCTTTAAAATAATACATAGTTTGTTCTGATTTTCTCATGGGAAAGCAGGATTCATAGAAAGTAGAAGCAAAATAAAATATGCCCTTCAAGCCCTTGAAGAGTGAGGTGTGACTGAGAATCAACAGGCTCAAGTCAGCAACAAGTCATGTCCTCCATGGGCTGATAATGTTTAAATTAACAAATCAGGACAATATAATATCTCCTTGATAGTCTCCTGTGATAATTTGAGGGCTCCATTTGGGAAAACATGGGATGAGAATAAAGCAAGTCGCCTTACCTCATCGCTGAAAACGTTGATTAGAGTACATCATTATTCCTCTTATATTCCATAACAACACTGTCATCTGACCCCAATACAGGGAACAGCATTATTAAATTCACATGTTACAAAATGTTATAAAGTGTTGTTAAGATTACTGCATCCAACTTAAAGTAATTTCTGCAAGCTGACGCACTGAACTGAATGCAACAAAATAAATGTGTTAGGTTTCCTGAGTATGGATTTGGATAATTTATGCAACAGTGCAGAATGAGATTTCTGACATTTCTTGTGCAAAGACTTGAGGCCAACAGAAAGGAAAAGCCAGGAAGGAAAAGCACAGTGTGGGAAGTCACTCAGTGCTTATCACAAGAGCAGGGGCCTTTTTGCTCCTTGTATGATATGGAGTAAGTTGCTTAACCATTTTTAACTCTAATACCCTATCCTCAAGATAAGAATAGTCGTTATTTGCAGAAGTTCTGAATTTGTGGAGCCATGATAATTTTGAAAGGTTACAGTTTTTGCCTCTCTTTGGTTTATTTTCCCTTCCTCTTCTCCATAGTTGAGCTTCTACCTGGAGTATGTTCACAGCTGCTGGGAAGGTTGGGACAGAGGAGGGAACAGTAAGCCTTCTAAATGTCTGGATTTGTTTTTATTAGCACTAAGGAAACCTAGGAGAGTTGAAGGACATACAAATATTAAAGTATAGCAGAGAAAGAAAAACCTTCTCCCTTGTTAAGTAGAAAGGCAAGACCCTTGCTAAAATGATTTAAGAAGTAAGGCAGAAAGGATGAGGTGACAGATACAGCTTGTGATATACGGAAGCAGTGAATGGCTTGAGGGGTCCGTATCCTGCCTCTTATTCAGAGACCAGAGAGATGGGCTGCTTGGAGGGATAGAGCTGAAGAGGGCTGTGATGCACCACTGGGGAGAGGAGCGAGCCTGGAAGACACTCACGGCCCAGATCCTGCATGGATCAGTGACCAGGTACTGGCATGGCTAATACTGAGGGACACAGGTAAGTAAAATACCACTGTTCTCCTATCCTCCCTGCTGGAGAAAGTGAAAAACAGTGAAAGGGAAGGACTTGGATTGATTAAAGAAGATAGGAGATTAAAACAAGAATTTCAACTGTGTTGAAGTATACATTTCTTGAACAGCTTGATTGTGGAATAAAATTTTTGTACTCTCTGGCACATAATAGCAAAACAACTTATTATAACTGTGTCTACTCCTGTTGTACATGTTTTACATGGCTGCTCAATAAGTCAACATTAACTTTTATTTGCACAACAGTACTACCCAGTTCAGTTTGAAGGCGGAGGTGTGGAATCCACCACCATGAGTGTCTTGTGAAGAGGGCTGGTGTTGACTCACGCCTAGGTCAGGCAGGGCAATCAGATGTCCAGAGTCGAGCCAGACACTGAATGGTTAAAATCACTCGCACTGCAAACCCTGAATAAAGGAAGACTGAAGGGACGATGTCTGTCCCTAGCTGTCTTCAGACATCTGAAAGACTTATTGTGGGTGATAGAATGTCCTTGTTCTTCATTGGGATGTTGAAGGCATGAATGTTTGATTTAATCCTCAAAAAGAGGAAGTTTCTCAGAGTTGAGTGTTCATCAATGTCAAGGAATTCAAACAGATGCCCAATGTTCATTTTGCCTGGAATGTGGTCAGAAGGTTCCGGCGTGCGGAGGAATGTGGTCCTGGCACTTTCAGTTTCAGGATGATATGATATGTGGCAGTTGATAGAACCAAATTCCAGGAAATATACTCAGTGTTCTATGTCCTTAAGCTCACTGAGTCTGTCCAAAAACTGTGTTAAAATTACCTATTATAAGAAGTATTATTCTTATTAGGCAAATCAGGCTTAAATACACTTAGCAAACTTCCAGAGCTCACAGCTCCTATAATTACAGAGCCACGTTTTGAACTCAGTTTAATTGTATTAAAAAACCATGACTTTCTACCATATACTCCATTTCTCTAACATGCTCTTTCAAAGATAATAAACAAATCTTAGTTCAAGGACAAAACTGTCAAAATATACCATCGTAGCTAAATGTTCTAATGACAGGCACAGGTGCATGGAAATATTTTTAATGGTGGCTCATATGGTTATATAGAAACATCAATGCATAAATTACAACACATAATATACCCCATCTTCTAAAGGAAGGTGGACTTGCTTTGGTCAATGTGGTAGTTAATCATACGCATTAATTTGGCCCAGCCCTGATGCTCAGATGTTTGGTCAGACACTATAACTATTTCTGTGAAGGTCCTCCAGATGCATTTGTCTCCTCAAAATGACAGAACTTCCACCTGGTCTGGCGATGCACACCTGTACGTAATTCTCGCACTCTGGGAGGATCACAAGTTTAAGCCCAGTCTGGGCAATTTAGTAACTTAGTGTGAATTTGTCTCAATTTAAAATTTTTTAAAAGGCCTGGAGATGTGGTTCAATGTGAAGGCCTTGAGTTTAATTCCCAGTACCACACACACACACACACACACACACACACACACACACACCCCTAGAGTTTTCTTCTTCTGTAAAGCTAAATAGCATTCCCTTTGGATACTATTACATGTTCTTTTTCTTTCATCTGTTAAGGAACAACAACAAAAAAATGAAAAAAGAAAAACGCTGCATGATCTTACTTATGTGTGGCATAGAAAACAGTTGAGCTCGTAGAATGGTGGTTACCATAGGTTAGGGGTCTGGTGGAATAAGGAGATTTTGGTAAAAAGGGTACCAATTAGATACAAGGAATACATTTTTTAGATCATTTGGACAACCTGGTCACTAATATAGTGTTAAGTGAAATAGGACACATAAACTTAAATATTGGATGGTTCTTTTTTTTTTTTTTTTTTTTG